AAGAGTTAGGTTAGAAAGCTAGCGACTAGACCTAGTTTAAGACCAACTAACAAAGTTAGAGAGACAAAGACAGAGAGAGAGAGAGAGAGAGAGATAGAGATAGAGAGGGAAGCGGCGACTTTTCTCAGCTTTCTTCATCACGGCGTTCATTGTTCGATTTTTCCTAATCATATGAATAATGTTGACTCTTTCTTTGTCTCTGGGCCTCTTTCTGCTTGAATGCTTTCATTTGCATTTGCTTACAGCTTCCGCCAAGCACTTCAACTGCCTCCATCTCCCGCCCCCCCTCTCCACAGCACCCCCTTTGGCTTTTGCTTGTAATTGTTTTGTGGCGTCTCTTTGATTAACATAAGCGCAGATCTCTAACGGTCTCTTTTGTGTGTGCCTGCGTGTGTTAACAAACAGCTTTGATTAAGAAGTTATGGCCAAAAGTAATCTCCTGAGTCATGACAACTATTTCATGGTCAGTCGATTTATGGCCAATTCCATGCTTGATTACGTTGCTGAACTTTCCACAAGCAACGCACAACAACCGCCACCTGCCGCAAAGGCTGTCAATCAAATAATAACACAAATTGGCAGCTGCAAAACTCGCCAGAAATTTGTAGACTATTTTTCAACAACTTCATGGAATAATTCCGTTACTTATTGCTTTATGTACACATATGAAATTTCTTGGTTTATTTGTTGAAATTACGTTAACTGCAATTCACTTTTCTTGGCTTTTGTTTTTCATTTTCTCATATGCTATGATTATATGCTCTATGCATTGTAAAATTGTTGGTGTCATTGTTGTGCGGCACGCGGCAGTTGTGCGGCACGCGGCAGTTGTGCCCCATGCGGCGGCGGTGGGCAACGCTGCTAAGGTTAGTGAAAAAGCAGTGAAACTTCTTTTTTTGCTTTTCTTTTAGCGTAATAATGCAAATGAAAAAACTATCATTAATTGCCACAACTACACGGAACGGGCGAGGGCGTGGTCTCTTTGCTACCGAGCTGCCTTTGGCGTCATGGCGCATGCTGCATGCGGGGGAAGCTTTTCTCTCTAATACCCTGTAGCGGCATGAGACGAAGGGAAGAGCATACAACGTCTCATCTTAATTATCTAATTATCTACAAAATTCTTGGCATTATAGATACTCTTGGGAAGCATTGATATCGAAGCTTGAAATTATTTAATTATACAGAAAATTTCATAAGTATTCCCTACAAACAATTCACATCTCTCTTTACATGCAAGAAATCTATTTACATGGTATCTACAAGTCGAATACTCCCACCATTTGCCACTTTGTAGATGCGCTCCGCAGCTGCCCATTAATTAAATGAGCTGAGAGCGTGAAAAGTCGCATGTTGTTCATTTGTTGCATCATTCGTAGAAACTGAAGAAGAGCTAAGTGCAACTCATGGCGCAGCGCCACGACCTAGACAGTGTTTAGGTGGCATGCGGCATGTGGTATGGAAATGCAGTTAACGGTGCTTTAGCTCATCATTAGAGCCAATTTAGCCAAGAATAGCCACGAATTTTATTTGTGCTTTGACTTTGCATATCGAAATTTATGACACCTGTTCTGATTTGTGGCCCATTAGCGCCTCTAGAACTGAACTTGGCTCTTGAGTTCTTATTGAGTTCTCCAAGGTGGCTATAGAAAGCGTGTAAATGAATTGCGAGCGAAAGTTTTTGGAACTGTCTTCGTTGTTATTGTTATTATTATTACTATTATTGTTTGTATGTAAATTAGCGACCAAAAACTTAAGATCTTAATTTTTTGGTGTCGCAATGTCAAGAATATAATGAGTCTCGGCTTATGATTCTTCCCATCGTCCGATTCTGGGTAAAAATACAAAAAATACAAAAAATAAGTTTTAACAATGTGTTAATTACACACGGTGGTCAGGCAAAAGAATGCACACTGAAAAGAAAAACCCCGTACGAACAAATCTGTGCTTAATCGTTAATTTATGAAATTTCTAGCGGTAAACGACATCCAGCAATCAGCCAGAATGCTGATTCCGCTTCTCCAGCTCTTTGTGTTAACGCTTCGTTGTTTATCATCAAGTCGGGGAATCATGGGTAGCTCATAAAGTTGCTTAACGTCTATCTTCATGCTGTTGGGGTTGACTTGCAGTGGATTTACCATTGATTTGATGGTCACTTCACAATAACCATAAAAGTGCGCAAAGTGGCAAATACCCTATGGCTAGCTGGTTGGGGAATAGGTTTATGTCTATGTTTAAGACTTGCTTTATGTCTCTGTTGCAAACACGAGCAAATAGTTGCCTAAATAAACGCACATTTTGATGAGGAGTATTAGCAACAGTCAGATATAATAATAATAATAAATTAATAGTGGTAACAAACTCATTTTCTTTTAGTTAGAGGGTATAACAACGACCTTGTCACATATGTCAAATTAAGTAGAAATGTCAGCTTCTGTGTGTATGAATGGCACCCATTTCCATTTAGCTAAGCAATCAAAATAACTCGTCTGCTAATCGGAATTTGTATCTCTTTGTCTTTGAAGAGAGTCTCTATCCAAGTTACGAGATATTTAGTGCATTGCTCGAGCTTAAAACGGCATCAAACGATTCAAGCGCACAATGCACAATTCGTATTGGTTGGCAACAATTAAAGACTTCATCAGGCCACTCCAGTGGCTGGTTGGCAGCCTATTTAGGTGCGGATACCAATCACTCACTCCGCCTCTGACTTTCAATTCAATTAAGCACAAACATGGATGCTGTTTTGACTAGCAGCAGAGTTGAGTGCCTCTCGAATTTCTACTAAAAGTAAACTTTAGTTTTTTGTAATTTCTTTAAAGAATCGAAGCAATTCGATTATGTTTATGAGTTGTTATGTTTGTTGGCGTCTCACGACAGAAATCACACACCCATTGCACCCATGCTCAGCTCTAATGGGTACTTGGAAGAAGGTACTTAAATTACCTTAAACTCACAAGCCTAACGCAACTAGCTAACGCAATTTTTTGTTTGGTTGTTGATTGCAACCTGTTGCCGATAGTAGCCGGATTATGTGTTTGTGTGTCACGATGAGCGTGCAACGGGGAGGCGTCGCTACGTGCAACTCGCTCAACCTGTCGATAGTCTTCTGATATTGGCGCAACTATGAGTTCGAATCCGAGTTTAGACAATTGGCCGGCCAGCAGAGCTATGTGTGTCGGCTCCATCATCATCATCATCATCATCTGCTTGCTAGACAACGTTCCCATCTTCAACTTGGCCAATTGGCAATGGCCAATCGCAGCCATAAATTATGTCGTTGTTTGCTGGAGTCGCTTCAACGAGTTGCAAGCTGTTTGCTCGCTGGAGTCGCATCGCCATACCATCATCATATGTTGTTAGGCAAGGCGCACATCAAAATTTATAGGTCAGTAGTGGCTACAAATTGCCAAACGTCCGATTTTTTCCTTATTTTTTTTGTGTGGGCTTCGATGAGATGATGGAATGTGAGAAGCTGCCCTCAGACATGGCCGTGATCTGGACATGTGCATTAAATTGTATTCCCCCAAAGAGCAACTACCTCTCCCTTCGTTTTACGGCATGTCTATCTGCTGTGTTCCCAAAACTGACCCACTCAGCAGCAGCAGCAGCAGCAATAGCAAGAAGTTTCATAGATTCAACTGCAGCAACTGTTGTCGTCGCCAACAACAGCAACGTTATGACAATCGATTTGCAATGGAAAGCCTGAAGGCGCTCCATTTATAACAAGTGGCCACATTGACTGCCTGCCTGCTAGCCTGCCAGCCAGTCAGCCAGGCTGCCTCCTCTCTAGCTATGGATAACTATATACGCTCCAATCTCAAATGATATTTTTCATACCCTCTAAAGTGGAGTATAATCATTTTGTTACAGCATACAAGGTAGACTCTGACGAGCCCTTTAACAACTTTATTTCTTAAGTGATCTTAAGCGATACAACTTTCTTTGGATATATTTTGATCAATGGCAGTATAGTTGCTGCTTCATATGAAGTGTTAAAGAAGATCTGATTACAACTTATGAGTATAAATTAAAAGCCATTACAACAAATGCTCAAAGCTGATAATAATGCTTGTAATTATTTAAGTAGATGTTGCTCAAGCTCTGATTACAATATCTCCTATATCTGCAAGGGTATTTAATGCTTGACAATCGAAAAAAGATAGCTGTGGCAACGTGTAGCCATTGTTGTTGCTGCTGTTGTCGTTGTTTGCTGTTGTCGCTGTCAGTTGTTGCTGTTGCTTGTTGTTTGCCCCTTGTTGCCGCTTTCAAAGTCAAGTTGTACCAATAATTCTGCATTTGACATTCAACGGGCCTGCACTTCTTTTTTCTGTTTGTGTTTTTTTTTGTTTCTGTTGTTTTCTGTGCCATTTTCGGTCAAAACGGTTTTTTAAGCTGTCTATCCCCTTCAAAAGCCCCCCGCCACCACCCTTTCAAACTTGCCCCTCTATTTGGCATTGTGTTGCCTTTGATATGCGCATAAGTTTTGGAACTCAACGCTAATTAAGCGGAAAATGTCAAGCGGTCAAGTTAGTCAGCGAGAAAGGCAATTCTGGCCAAGCTTTCTGGACTTTCTGGCTTACTGGAATGGCGCTCATTAAATGCTCAACTGACCAGTCGAATACTTATGGGGAAAACAGATACTTTTTCTGGCAAAAAGACATAATTTGAAAAGTTCTCAAGACATCCGATTTATCTTATGAAATTACATACTTTTGCAACGCTGAGTTTAATAAACTCTCTTGTAAATATAAAAGTATTATATTTGATTTTTTTTAATACTTCCTTAATTAAAGTCGATCTGAAGATATATTGTTGGTTGATTTTAGACCATAACACTTGCAATTGTAAAATCAATGCCTGTAAATATTGGATGAGCCGGAATCGGAACCAAAATTCGTTTCTGGTGGACTAAGAAAGGCGTTTCGCATCTTTATTTTCGTTAAACTACCCAAATTATTTGGCAATTGAGGCCTGTTCAGGTTATTTATTTCTCTACTAACCTTGTTATCCTTGTTATTGTTGAGCTTCTGTTGATAGTACTCCTCGCGAGCGTTGGTGTTCAGGCTATCAATAAGCGCCGAAGCATTCACATGTCCATCATAAATGGTATCCTGGGCTTGATTATTGCTGTTGTATGTTGCTGCTGGCCCAACTGCTGCGGCTGCAGCTGCCGCTGCTGCTGCTGCTGAGGATGCTGCTGGCATTGCTATATTGGCTTGTGGTCTCGTATAAAGCTGCTCCAGCGGCAAACCTGGCGCACCCGAATTGATCGTTGTCATTGTGGCAGGATGCGATGAACTGGCAGCAGTTACCTTCTGCTGCTGTTTGGTGACTCCCAATTTCTGTTGCTGATAGTTGTTGTTGTTGCCAGTGCCTAGTTTTTGCTTTGTGGTTGTTGCCGTGCCGGGTGGCTTGGACTGTGCCGCGGCATTGGCAGCCGCTGCACTAACACTGCTCGGACGCTGAGGACCTCGTTTCACGGCAGCCGTGACCTTGTGTCCAAAGGGACGCTTTGTGGCACGCAGCTTATGCTTGCCCAGGGTGCTCAAGGTGCGTTGATTGCCAGCGCTCATTGTGGTGCTCGTACTCCCATCTGAATCGGCTGCAGTTATGGCGGCTATATTATTATTGGAACGTGCGGCAACAAATTGATCATCAGGTTCGGTGGCATCCGTTAGGGAATCGCCGCTGGTCGTCGACGGCTGTTGCAGTTCATCGTCAACCTCGTCGCTGTCGTCGTCGACGGTGGACTGCACCTCCTGATTGTCGGCCAGTGTGGTCAATGCCGGTGCTATTGTCTCTCCCTCCACACTCTGATCGGTTGTCGTCGGAAACTCCTTCATCAGCGTCGTCTGAGCTGTGACCTCCGCTTGCAATGCCGCCTGCTCGTTCATTGTGTGCTGCAGTTGCAACAGTGTCGTCTCGTCCAACAGCAATGTGGGGTCCGTTTCGGTTTCAGTATAACCCGTGCTGGGCAGCGTGCTCTGCTCCGAATCCTCTGTGGAGAGCAGTTGCGAGGCACTGCTACTTCTCGCTGAGGTCGCCTCTTGTTGTATTAAGTGCTGCTCCTCAATATCGAGGGTTTCCTTCAGTCGCGCCACACGCTCCACAATTCTGGCCAGCATGTCCTTTTGCTGTTCCGGCAGATTCTTCGTGTCCAGCTCCAGCAATCTATCATATTTCTTCATATTACGCTTAACGGTTTCAATATCCGCACGGGTCTTTGATGCGGGTGGAGCTAGCGTAGGATTTGGATATACATAGGGATTCTCCATAAACTGGGTGCGCGCCCGTCGATTGCTGTAGCCAACCAGCTCAATGACGCCGGGATATTCCGCATCGGTGATACCGGGCAGGGCGCACAGAGCCGCAATTAACGCCAGGGCGCAGCTCCAGGCTGCACTAAGCGCCATCTTTAACGGGATAGGAGATGGGAGAACACTAGTTGGCAATTTTAACACACTGAGCAATTTGAACGCACTTTGGGTGGGTATTTAATTTGGCTAGGAACTGGATTTGGATTGGATTTGCCACTCGCGTTTCTTTTTTTCCAGTTTTTCTTTTTCTTTCAGTTTTTTGTATTATTTATTTATTTTGTTTTGTGTTTTTTTTTTTTGGCTAACGCATTTATAACTCGTATTAGTGTCAACTAACTGTAACTGCTCTTGCAGCACGATCGAGTCGAAGACTCAGGTTTCAAGTCCAAGTCCAAGTCCAGGAGGCAGAAGCAACCGCAACTTGTCTGGCTTTATTTTGCTTTTTGGCCACCTTTACTCAACTAACTCTACTACTGGGCAGCACTTGTATTTTCTTTTAGCTGTATTTATTTTTTTTGCTGCTTCTGCTGCTTCTAACTTGATCGCGCTCTCCGATCGCAGTTGCGCTGTCTTCTAACGTCTTGGTACAAATGTTTCTGGCCGCGTTGCGGCAGCGTCTTTTAAAAATTTTCAACCGGAAAACGCTGCCGCAGTCGACGTCGGTGTCGACGTCGGCAATGTCGCTGTTGCCGTTGAAGTTGACGTCGACTTTTCTCCCAGCGTTGCAGACCGGTTTCGCAGTCCGCGAGCTTCAAGCGAGAGCGAAAGAAAGATACGTTTTAAACAGTTTTAATACCAACCAAAATCCAATAAATAATACGGATTCAAAGACTTATAATTAAATTATGCATTTATCATTTATTTGTTCTTCAGTTCTAGTTCAAGCAACATTCTAAAGTTAAGCACAATTCTAAAAAACGGCTGTCAAACGAAAGTTTCACATTTCTATTTTCCAAACTTGCATTAGGCGCGCAACTTGAAAGTTAACAGTGGCTGTTAACATGCTGTTGTGCTTGCAACATGTTGCATTGTTGAGTTGTGGAAACGCTGCCACGGCCTAAGCTAATGAGAAATTTTGTGCAGTTGCAAGCCGCCGGATTTGTGTTAGAAGCGATAAGTACTTGTCTCAGTTTGAAAGTTGTTGAAATATTATGCGTATATTTCCGGCGCCTTACTCCATTAGTCATTGTCGCTTGAGGCCTGCTCTCGACCAGATTCTTGGCATTTTGGCCTGATTCTTAAGCTTTCGCTTCAATGTCAACATTAGGCCTGTCATCGATGTGGTCTAACTAAAAAAAAGCTGTTATCAGCAACTGGTATAACCAGCCGCACGCCCAGACACCTAGTTGGCCAAGGTGTCTCCTTTTCTTATAAGCTCTCTGCGCACTATAGCCAAATGACAAACATTTAATATAATTTGTCGCGTGTACTCTTTTAAAGTTAATTGGAGCTGCGCTATTCCTCCTCTCTCCTCTCTGATCCAGCGGTCTTTGTCTCTGTGTTGCCCTGCGTTCGGTACGTGCCGTTGTTGTTAATGATCTCTCGATAGATTTCCATTTCTAGCGGGCCTTTCTCAAATGTATATATATATATTTATATATAATATATATGCAGACTTGTTCATTTTGCCATTGAAATTTCTATAGCGCCATGGGAACGCCGGCAGCCAATAAAACAATAACAAACGTAACGAGTTCAACACGAGACCCTGCCCGAAGCAAGAAATATATAGTCCACATATACCTGATACTGATACGCATTTTAATACCCTGTACACATTGTACGCAGGTCTTGCCACAAATGTATCTTCAAGCTGCTTACATGGGGTATCTTGCAGCCAGGCACTCTCTACTCGAACACTGTTGATTTTTCAAATAGCCGCGCAATAAAAGAAACCCAGCGTTAATTAAAAAAAAATGGCCATAGATCAATGCACCTGATAGATGTTGCTGCTGTCGGCTTAAGCCGCAAAAGTTGTGTCCATAATTTAAGAGACGACTCCACTCCGCCCTAATGGAGCAGCCACGCCCCCGATATGCAATTGAAAAGTCCTTAGGCGCTTCATTAGACAACTCGAAAACTGTAGTTCTGATCTCGCATTGACACACATGCAAATCGTGGGTGCTGTTGCCGTTGTTGTGAGTGGGTTGCCGCTGCTGCTACATTTGGCCACATGTTGCCGCGTACCGAAAAAAAAAACAAAAAAACAAAAGCAAAAAACTTGCAACCGGGCAACTTTCTTCAGCTTATCTTTATGCATATGCAACGCAATGTCGGCGTCTGCATTCTTTGCTGTGGCATTAAATATGCGAGCGAAGCAACGCGACGCGATCATCTGCCAGCAATAGCAACAGTAACTGCAACAACAGCAACTGCAGCAACTACAGCAACAATTGCAGCAGCAACAGCAAGTCTTGAACTTTACTAGCAATGAAAAGCTTGGCAGTCGCCCTTTTAGCCAGCAACTGTTTAGCGTTAGCAGCCCAGAGCAACTTTTGCATAGACAGACTTGATGAAAAGCAAGAGAGAGACGGCAAGCGAGCGCCAGAGCGAGAAAGAGATGCTGCACGAAGTTGCTGCTGCTCAAGTGCCAATGGCAATCTACCTTTTTTCCTTTTTTTTTTTCATTCTTTTTTTTTTTTGTTGCCATTGTGGTTCTAGTTGTTGTTGCTGTTGGGGAACTGCTTTTTCTTCGGCTGCTTCTGCTGCTGCTGTCGCTGTTGTTGTTGCTGTTGTTTTTCTTGCTGTTGTTGTTTATTTCTCTGCAGTTTGATCTTTTGGTCTTTGGCGGTAATTTTTGTTGCCGCTGCTGCAGCGGCGTCTGCACTTTTTCTTAGCAATTGTTGCTGCTGTGACTGCTGCTGCTGCTGGTGGTGCTGCTGCCTCAAACGCTTTATTGGCTTTCAGTTGCTGTTTGTTGGTCTTTGCCTTGGCTGCAAAATTCTTATTTCTATTTTCGCTTTATCTACAAGTTTTGTCTTCATTTTTATTTTAATAGTACAAATGATTCCACTCTTTTGCAAATTGCTGCCTGATTTTTTCGCCAGCGATAAAATGCCACGATTGCAAGCATATTCTTCTTTTTCAATGTGGCATTCTCTTCTGCTGTTGCTGCTTGTGTGCGCCTCTCTTTATCACTTAATGATTTCAAATAGTTACCACTTTGGTGTTGGGTGCGAATTTAATTTGAATTATTACTATTATTAGATGTTATTTGTGTAATGCGGCATTAGAAGACAGCAGTTGGTGTTGCAAAGTACAGTTACAGTTGATGCTGCCGCTGTGGCATGTTGCTGCCGTGCATTATGCAAGATTGCGTCGTTATCCGCAACGAAAATCCAACTCAAAAAGAGCTGCAACAAATTTACTGATAAGCTAAGTACTGAACATCCGCAACTGTTGCAGCAGCAACAACAACAATCGCTGCACAGTAAGAAATTTTGGTTGAATATTGCGAGTAAAACGATGCTTTATCTAATTGAATGAATTTGTAGTCTTAAAATTACAAAATAAAATTAGAGTTGAACTTGCAAGTTGTTCTTGTAAAATAAGTTGCAATAATAATGTAATTCAAGTGAATAATAAAATTTCTTACTGTGTGCTTTGGCGCATAACTTGTGCCTGCCTCAATTACCAATTGTTGTTTGCCGTTTAAATAATGGCATTGTTGCTGTTGCTGTTGTTGCTGTTGTTGCTGCTGCTGCTATTGTTGTTGTTGCTGCTGCGGCTTGGCCACATTTAAATTTATTAAAACTGCACAACTTCTAACGGGCAGAGGCTTGGAATGTTGATGTTGCTGGCGATCAATGACCGTGTGCAACACTTTGTCTTCTGACGCATTGGCCTTGTGGCAGCATTTAACTAGTCTACGTGTGTGAGTGTGCGTGCGTGTGTGTTTGTGCAACATTCGCATCCTGCAACAGCAAATGTCTTTCAACTGTTCGACTGGCGCTTCGATTCTCAGTAATAATGCCATTTTGCATGCAGTTTAACGTCATTTGTCATTTGCTTAATTGTGACCAAGTTGCTTGTTGCATTTCCTGTTCCCAACTGCCGTTTTGTAATTGTTGCAACACACGCAGCCACAGCAACAGCAACAGCCGCGTCCGAGAAGAGTTCAACAATGCGCCGCTGGGCCATTTAGTTTCAATTAATCAAGTTGTCGCTGCACGCGTCTATTAGCTGTTTATGATGTCTTCTAACCGCTCAGGGTGTAATCCTTAGTTTGCATCAACAGCATCAACAGCAGCGGCAGCAGCAGCAGCAGCAGCTGTGCTTGCTTGCTCATTAGTGGCGCCCCCAAGTTGCATACACTCAACATTATTAAATACTCTGGTGGCAGTTGGCCGCTACTGCCTGCCGGTGCTTTGCTTGACCACATTTCGAGTAGTGTTCTTCCATTTCTTATTTCATTTGTGGACTGCTTTCGTAACACAACATGTGAAGTTCTTTTAATGTTCCATTTTGCCGTTTGGGGGTTTTATATACTTTAGTACCGTTGCCTGTTGCCTGTTGCTGTTGCTGTTTGGTGGACAGCTTTTGCGCCCAGCTGTCACAGGTTCGTTGACTTGCTCACACACACACACACACACACAGGGAGTTGGTGTTGAAACCATCAGGTTCAAGCCAGACATTTGAAGTGCCCAACTCCAACTCCAACTTCAAGTCCAACTCCATTGCATAATGCCCAAACACTCAAACTGACGAGACCAAGACAGACAGACGAATCAAGTCGCTGACTAAGTAATTGCACACACTGCGAATTCAATTTGTTTGACTCTAACTGGCAATTTTTGTTTTGTTTTTGGTGGGTCTTAAGGCGGAGTTCTTGGGTTTGATTGCCTTAACTGTGAACTACGCGTATTAAGTTTATGGTCAAGATTTTCTGGTCTGAAAAGACGTTACAATATGCGATTCGTCTTATGAAAGCGTAATTTTGTCACTGGGCCAGTTAGTTAACATGTGTCTTCATTTTACCAACACTTTTTATCATACATACTTAAATGGAGCATTTACATCTGCAGCAACTGCTTTAATATTCAAATTTTCAGAAGTAACTCTTTCAGTTTTTTTGCGTAAAATTTAATGAATACTTTAATATTTGTCGGAAAAGGGCATAGGCCAGCAAGTTGTCTAATTGGAAACGCAACTTTATAGATTGAAATTCAAAA